GCAGGTGAGATACACACATGTGAAAGACTGTGAGATTTTTAGGGCCACCATAACAAATATAAAATGAAATGAATACATAAACCTGCCCAATACCTCACTTAATAAAAAAGTTATCTTCAGTGATGACTGTTAGTTGCAATAAGGACAAAAGTATAACTGTGAATTTAGAGTGGTTTGCAAATTTAAGACAGGCCACTTTAAACATGACCAAGGTAAAAAAACCCCAAAAATTAAAAAAGGGTGCCTTTCTAACTTAAAATAATATTGACATAATTTTCTTGGATTTTTGCATTATTTTGAATAGACCTTCAAAGCAGAACTGTCAAAATATTATTAATAAGATGTAAAGTGTCTCATATGTTAACTTTCTTCACATTTCACTACAAATTTAAAAACAAGGAAAAAAAGAGACACCATTTCTGCAAAGTAAATTTAGCTTAAGTGCATTTTTTTTTTCAGCAAAATGGGTCATTGGCGTAAACCTGTGAACATTTCTTGGTTTTCCATGCTTTGATGAAAATTAGACATATTCTATTGAACTCATATGATGAATAAGCAAAATCATTTGAAAGAGAAAGGAAAAACATATCTGAGTAGGCTTTTTGCAATAAGATTTACACAGTACACAGCTTCAGTCAGAAAACTTGGAAGGCAGCTTAATTTCTTTGAGATATGAGGCCAAAGCCCTCAGCAGAAATAAATTGCTATTGCTCCACCAAACACATTGGAGCTGTGCTAATGGCAAAGGAATCATGCTGATTGACATCAGATGAGGATTTGGCCCCATTTCGTCTCCTGAGTGAGTGAGATTTTCTGTGTTAAAGAGAACATTATTATTCCACAAATGTCACAGCATTGTTACCCTAAACACCAACTTGCTTTTGTAAACTGTTGATTCCCAAAGATTCCTTAGTCTAAATCAGTATAAATAGGACAAAACAGTTTTCTGTTTTCTAAGATCGTGATGTGATGTTCTTTGTTGCTACTCTGAGCTTGCACAAATTCACTGTATCTGCCTGAACACGGACTCCTGTCTGTGAATGTTGTCTGGCCACCAGCCTGATAGTCTTTAATTTTTGTTAGGAAAGTTATATATATTTCTAAGAAACTTGCTGGTTTAGCAGTTTAAGTGTTTACAATTAACAAGTACCATCCTCTGCAGAATTCTGCAGTTTCAGAAAAGAATAACAACATGGTGGTTTAAAATAACAATATGGCTTAAAAATCTGTGAAAGGATGCTGTTATCTTGTTAGTTCATTGTTTTGCTAATCCATCTCGTCTTCTACCACCTCACCTGCCCCCCAGAGTCCCTAACTCTTAGTTCTGCTGTAACATTTGCAAAACGATACAGAAAAGTCAAAATTATAAATTATAAGGTGATTGCAAAAGTATATTTTCCATGCACAGTGCTAATCCATACTCCAGTGGAGTTGGCATTTCTTGGCTGCAGGCAAATGCTAAGCTTCAAAGTGTGGCTCAGGTGCTGAGCTGTATCTTGCTCCTGACAGTAGGCTGCTGGCATGGATGCTACTGTAACCCATATCTCTAGTCATGACTTGTGCACATTTTAGGGTGTCTGGGCCCTAATAACTGTATACCCTTGCTAGAATTTGCCACATTCTAGGCTACATGTGACTCTCTGAGCTCTGCAAAATGTGTGACCACACCATTACATTGGTTACAGTATTAAGACACATATCACATACAAAATATAATGCAAGACATACTCCCCAAAGAATCACTGGAAAATACAATCCTTGGGCCACAAATTTTAACTGTGTTCTACAGCTCTAATGCTAGAGAAAACTTTCCTCAGTGTACAGACAAGCTTCAGGACAACCCACGAACGTTAACTGAGGTAGCCCTTGCCGCCTTGCTTTCTTCTATCACCTCTATTTCAAACTGCCCATTCCATACCATTTTAACTTTGCTCCCAGATGCATGATAAAGTCTCAAAATAGAAAGCGTAGCTGAACCGCACATTGCAGCCTTACAATATTTTAGTTATTCCCTTCCTTACAGCCTTCTTTTCCTTTCTGCTGCCTATGAAATTAGTTTAGTCATAACACCTTGGCTTTGCTGATTCCCCATCACACCATCATGTGAACAAGACACTAAGTCCGCAAGATCCACAAAAGCATTTGTGTCTCCTTGTCCATCTTGCATTCATGTCAGCTGGTTCAGAACACAGACTTTATACTGTGTTCCTATTTACAGCACAGTGTGAAATCACTGTAACCCCATTAGCATTCCTAACAGTACATTACCTAGGTATCTAACTCATAGCAGTGTTTTGACACAGTCATTCTCTTTCCAGCATAAATCAAACTTCTCTAGACTTCTAATTTTTCCACATGAGCAGCCCATTGCAATAACCCAGGTAACTGGCAGTCAAGTGATAGCAAATCATTTTCTTAGGAAAAAGAGATCGCATCAAGAACTTTAAATTGTCTCAGTTTAGTTCTGCTAAGGTGGGTAAGAAGTCCATGCAGGGCTGCCAGATATAACACAGGACAGAGAATATATATGATATCATCAAGCAGCAGTGGGAGCCCAAGCAGAAGACTGTAGAAGTTTAAAAGGCACAAAATGCTTTGCTATGATACCGAATCTCACTTAATTTTCCAATCTTAATTTGATAAATAGATCCACTGAAGTCCAGAACAGATCAGAGAACCTCTATATTTTCTCTCTTTGAAGACTTTAGCATGTTTATGATGTGATGGTCAGGGTCTGTAAACGGCAGTAGTAAATGAACTGTGTTACCCTGTGAAATATTCTCTAAATATTCAGTCTTATGGCTTGCATTTCATGAGAAAATGTCAATATTCATTTCTTTTTTTGTCTCTTTTTATACATTTTTTTCTGCCTACATAGTTCCAATCTCTCTAATATATTTCTATTCCAATATGACTGAAAGCGATAGCCATCAGACAATAGGCATAAATTAACAGCACAAATCTGCAAGCACAGGAAGTTTGTATTAACTATCTCACCTATCATTTCAAGCTTTAGGAATGACTGCCATATGACCAGAAATACCTCAAGTATCCCTCTTGGAAGATATAAAACCTGCTCCACCTGCTCACAAAATTCTCCACACCAGCAAGAAATCCATGGAACTTTTTGCTTTTACTTAATATTTTTGTGGTTATTGCAGTTAAAGCCACACGTTATTAGAATTGACTTGCATTACTAATTTCAGCTTATGGTCACTGCTATCCAAAAAAAATTAGCCTTTTGAAAATATTTGAAGCAGAGCCAATTTCACCTCTGCTGAAATTGCTCTTGAAGTCTTTTGTCCACAAATTTTCTCACCTGTAGCACATCTCTTGTGCTAAAGCCACAAGCAATTCTTCTTCACAGATGATTTGTGTATTTCTTTGTGCATATATTTTAAAAAGTATGTTTAAACAAGTTCACTACAATGTACTTTAGAATGGCCTCTCTACTGTGTTGATTCAAATTCTTTTTCCACTGGCCAAAACACTGAGGAATGAGAATAGGAGGAATATGAGAAAGGTAACAGCAGGAAGTTCCCCGTGTCATTGTAAGAGTCCATGTGCAGAATAAGAGCAGAATCTTAAATCACATGGAGAAGGTAAATAATCAGAATTGTTTGTGCTACAGAATATTAAGCATATCAGAGATAGCACATCTGGATATTTTGTACCACAACCACAGTACCCAAACCCATATCTGACAATTTCCTGTGATTGATGTGATGAAACCTTTCAGAGTTTGGAACATCTCTTAGAGCAGAGGACGTTTTTGAAATCCAACCACTATAAAACAAGCCCTCACTTCCTACCCCTTTCAACACATTCTGTTGTGCTCAGTCTGTAATTTCTCATTTGTGCTGACAAACAGTCCAGTCCTTGATCAGTTTGCAAAAGGCTAAGGGGATCCATCATGCCTCCAATCAGGTTGGGTTGTAGACTTCTGTTTTTCGCTCTAATTGCACTCCAGTTCATGTAATACACATTCTGGTTCCCTGTATTCCTCTCCCAGTTGCAATTAAATATGTCATAGACTCATAGAATAATCGATTCATAGAATCATTTAGGCTGGAAAATACCTTTAAGATCACTGAGTCCCATGATAAATCCAGCACTGCAAAGTCCACCACTAAACATTGTCCCTAAGACTACACGTCTTTTAAATACCTACAGGGGTGATGACTCAGACACTTCCCTGGAAAGACTTGTTGCTTTACAACCCTTTCAATGCTTTATTCACCCAAAGTGAATGAATTTTTCTTAATATCTAATCTAAACCTCCCCTGGCACAACTTGAGGCCATTTCCTCTTGTTCCAAAGTATCTCAGCTTCGTGTCTCACCTGTCCCCTTCAGCAACTACTGTCATTCACTTTCTTTTCTGATGTTCTAAGCCTTGTTGCCACATGATCCTTACTCCCCACCCCATCTGTATCTGTTTGACTGTCTATAAATATATACAGAAGTGCAATAGCCAGGATATCAAGGCAGCCTGCTCCCAACTTCTTTGCTACAGCAATGGGAGAAGTGATTGCAATTTGCTTTCTACGTAGTAATGCAGTGGTGGTATATTGCTTTGGTATATTCATTCCTACTTCTATTCACACTGTTACTATATACTTTCTAATAAACAATTTCCTCAGTCACTGCTTTTCTTGAAAGAGTCTATTATAATGCTGTACCAGGGGATCTCAACAGTATTTACAGAAGTAGAGACTTGTGCAGGCAGGAAACAGAAATAAATAATGGAGGCCCCGATGAACAGGTAATATTCATTTCCATGGCTCTACTTCCTAATATTTGTTATTCTTAATAGACTCCCAATCAGTGATAGAGATAATAAGCTTTACTAAGCTTATCTCTTTATCTGTAGTTTTGAGAAACATTTTTGGAAAAAACTCAATACATTCTAGAAGATAATTTTTTAACAGAGCAGTAGTAAGTGAATTCTATTTCTTTCTCATCCCCAACAAATCAAATCTACAAAAGATCTTTCCTGGTCTGAATTAATTTTAATAGTAAAGAACTCACTGTCAAGTTGAATAGTGATGGACTTAATGTTTCAGAGAGTTGCTGCTACTTTAATTCACAAATATAATGAAATAGAATTTAGGAAACATTTGTATTACAGTGAAGTACTATATTCACCTGAAACTTCCGCAAGAAAATGCTTTACAGCAACAAAATAGTCAGTATTCACATATCAGCCTGGGTTTAGATGATCTGACAAATCTTTTAGATAACAAACAGCACAAAACCACAGTATGAAATGGTTTAGAAACACATTATGTTCGCTTAATAGCAGATGTGAAACTACTGACACTTTGGGCCTTTTAAAACAGCCCCTGGAAATCAGTAATTAACCTTCTTATGTTAGCAAGCTCACAGAATTTCAGTGTAAAGAGCTGGTGTGCTAAAGTGCTTTGAGACTGTTTTAAGAAGCTCTCTGAGAACATCCTTGTGTTTGTCCATATTTGATGTCTGGGTTTTTGTACCAGTTTCTTCCATAGCCTTGTATGTGCAAGTCCATTAGCACAGTTTAGTTTAAACAGCCTTTTCCAGTCTTTCATGGGTTAATGCAAATCAAGAAACTGCAGTCTCTCTGATGACTTATATTAGTTGAATTTGAGTTCCTCACAGATTCAGAAGGAAGAGTATTATGTGTCTCTTATCCATCTTATTGCCCAAGGACTTCTCTTGCCTCTTACTCCTCCGTGCCTTTTCCATGTTTCTGGTTCCCATCTCTTAAATAATTCTGGACTGCTCAAGCAAGTCTCCTCAAAACATAGGAGTAAGTGGATATTGCTGTGGAGACTTGTTACTCTCTACAAAGAGAAAAAAAAATGTAAATGGATATGAGACAGAAAGGGAGAGGAATGATTTTCCCATTCCTCCTCAGTGTCCAAGTTCAGATAGATAAAGGATTCAACCTTATCGAATAGTGAATGACATAATCCCTCTACCTCCCCGAAAAAACCAAGCATGTTGAACATTTTGCAAAACACATTGAAGGTCAGCTTTCAGTTCAAAAAATAAATACTTGAAAAGAACAAAAAGGAATTTAATCCAAACCACTGCACAAAAACAGAGCCCTTCAGTGAAAGGATGAGAATATTACTGTTGACAGGTGTGGGGAGAAAACCTGCCAGTTTTTTTGATATAAAGAATAATCAATTTGCCATGGATGATGCCAGAAGAGATCCAAACCTCCCTTTTGTCCCCAGATGGAGTCCTAATGTAACATTTGCCCAGATCAGCATATCCCAGGTCCCTCTTGGAGGAGCAATGTCCAGGTAGCTTCACCAGCCTGAATGCTTGGAGGGGAAAGTTTTGGTTCTGGCCTGGAGCGACATTAGGTGTTTGCTCTATAACTGACTGACCAAAACAACCCAAAGTCAAATATCCCCTCAGATGAGAAGGGTTGAATCCAACCTAAATCAGCCAGAAAACCTTGGGCTAAGCAGTTAGGACAGGTCCTGCAACAGAGCCAAAGAACTGGCTTTTAATTTTGTGGTTTCAATCCTATTTCAGAATTTGAACTGATAATCCTCCATCTTAATTTAAAAATAAGCCCTGCTGCCTCACCTTATCATGTCTAAAAAAACTTGGGCCAGATCCACAGTGTCCTGGTGTCCTTTCCAGAGGGAAAGCCAGCAGTTTCACCTCCTCAGGTTCATTCTTCAGGCATCCACTGGGGTTGTACAGTTAGCACAGGTGTCACTTGGCCTACCCTTTGTCTACCAGCTATGCTCTGATGAGCCCGAGATTCTCAGAGGCTCTGATAGCCAGCCAGATTTGGGGCAGATTTGGCATTGCGTTAAGAACAGGTTGAGTTGGCTTTCAACACGACGTTCAGGACACAAAGGTGGATTGGGGCCAAATCTCCTCATGCTGAGTTGAGTGCAGCAAACCCTTGGATCTTGATAAGCTCAATATATTTTATTTTTTTTCTTTCAAATTGACCTGTCCTGTTTTACTTCATTCTTCTTTCATTTTTTTCAAAACCATATTTCTTTTTGTTTGTCTATCTGCCTCTGTCTTTTTTGTCCTTGTTGTTTGTTTCCAGTAACAGGCTTATTAATATATCCTTCATTGTTTCCGACATTGCTTTACTGACTCATATTTTACTATTAACTATAACTTCTTTCTTTTTCTATCCATGCTGCATTTTCCCCACAAATGCAATCTTGAGAACAACACGCCCCCCCCAAACCCTTAAATGATGTAACGAATCCTTCTGTGGAGATAGTCTGATCTGGTGTGTTGACTTATGTGTAGCCATTAAATAGTTGTTTGGCTTTAACATGTGTGTTAAATAGACTTGGTTTTAAGGTGGGATTCCCTGGCAAAGGCAGGGACACGTTGTCTTTCTTCCTACCACTCTTTTTTTTTTTTCTACAATTTAAGACTATAATGATAAATGCTTTTTCTCCCTTTGCTGTTTTAAAACACTAAGGTCTTGGACATGCGTCTTTCCTCTGTATGCTTGATTTTATTGGGTAACACTGAGAGGAACATAACCTTGGATGAGATTGTTATGAAAAAACACAACCAATCTTCCCCAACAACCCACAAAGGAAAACCCTTATGGTTTTATTATTCTGGCAAGGATTTACCGTCAAATTCCATTTCAGAAACCCCAGAAATCATGATTAAAAAGTGGTTGTGGGCTCAGAAAAATGCCCCATTGCTGTGAGTCAATTGCTAACTATAAATGTTCTCTGACAAGAATACTGAGAGGACTCCATGAAGGAGTGGTGCTGGGATTTCTGTTACAGCATTGTGCACAGCAGATGAGTCTTATCCTACCAGTCCAGAGAGTAAGCAGACCTCATTTCCTATCAGGCTGGATTATGACTGAGCAAAAAGATCAATGAATCAATGAATAATCAATGCACCTTCATGGAATATTATACTAATGCTCTTTCCTGATGGAACGTTATTTCTAATGCTAACAAATTCAGTATTGTAGAGTGGGATTAATTTACTCCAACTTCACCTATTTGCAATGCAAATTACTCATCTAACCTCTTTGGATACCTATTTAAGAATGAGATGGCTCAAATTCTAGGTTTGTTTATTTCTCTTCATTGATTATAGGGAGAGTCCAAACAGGTAGCTTATATGTGGCAGTAGGGGTGAACTAAATGATTTTTAAAGGTCCCTTCCAAACCAAAACATTCCATAATTCTATGATGCCAGTTTCTACTCCACAGTTTTGCATGTGGCCAAATGAATCTTATCCAGACAGATTTCTCTTTGTTTTACGCTTAGCATTTTGCTGTTTCCATTGAAAAAATTAAGGAGAAAACTTCAGGAGTCTACTGAAGTTTACAAGTAAATAAGTTTTGCAACATCAAAGGCAATGGCCGTGTTTTAGAGGCAAACTCACTTCAGCAGCAAGTTGGTAAAATTCCGAATTTCTTCATTGGTTTGATCCCATTTAAACAGTCACAATGGTATATAATCATAATACTTTAGTTTTATTCCTTAGAGCTTTAGGGAATAAAGACAAATTGCCTACGTAAACAGAGGAACTGTTGACCTCAGTGACAGATAAAATTCTTGCGTTCTCATGTTTTGCTTCTGATTGTAATACTCTAAAATCAACAGTTTTAAGTGTCTTAACACGAAGTCTAATGTATCATACATCATTATTTTGATGCAAGCAAAGGATATTTTGAAGACTATATCCAAAGCCAGGCAGTAGACAACCAAAATTTAGACATATTAACACCTTGCTTTTATACATCTAGATCCCGTAGCACAGCATACAGGACCAGACCGGTGACTAAGCCAGAGTACATTGTCAATCTCATGTCAATGCTAATTACAAATCCATAGCAGTAATACTCAAGTTTACAGCTGCCTGAAGTTGATTCCTTCTGTAATTTCCCCTTTATATCCATCCATTAGGCATCCACAGCTCTAAGACCTCTCTCTATGGGAGACCTCCTGATCCTTTATTCAAATAGGAGAACATTCCTTCTTCATGGGAAGGAGGAGGAAGAAGAGGAAGATGCAACTGTCTCTGTGTGTTGCCCTTATATTGCCAATTTTTTCCATAGTGATATCCAGGACTCCAACTGCCACTCGGTGGATTTGGGCTCAGCTCTCAGGATCATGGATAAGATATGCAAGATAAGAAAAAAACAATCTAGGGAGGAGGACCAACTGGAAGCCAGCATTTCCTCTTCCAGTTAGTACAGCTAGGTTATGGAGTCATGCTTTTTATCTGGTCCAACAAAGTTTGAATTATTCTGGCACAGTTTCTGAAGTTCAGCAGAGGGAAGGGCAAGTGCCAGAACTGTCTGGTAGCTAGATGACTTTCCTGGAAGACATATGATTTACTCAAAGCAGCAATCACTGCTTGACCTAATGGTCTGAGTGCTAGCGAAAGAGTGGGGGATGGGAAGAAACGTCCTCTGGTTGTGTTTTAAAAGAAAGTAATTGTTGAAGATGAATTTTACCTGAACCCAGTTCTGTTGGAATAAGGAATGAACAAAGGTCTCTGCTCAAGGAAAGCTTTTAAGGTATTTATAAGCAACAGTTACATGGGAGCAATCTGGGTGTGCTTCAAGACAGTTGTGGGCACCTGAGGGGTCTTAAACTAGAAGAGCATGGTATGTGGTTTTCTCTTAAGAACAGCTGCCTGGAGGTGTTTAAAGTCATCTAGTGGGGTTCCACAGGGCTCCATTTTGGGCCCTTTGCTCTTCAACATCTTCATAAAAGACTTGGATGCAGGACTGGAGGGGATACTAAGCAATTTTGCAGATGACACAAAACTGGGAGAAACTGTTGATTCCCTCGAAGGCAGGGAGGCCCTGCAGAGAGACCTCAACAAATTAGAGGATTGGGGGGCAATCACCAACCATAGGAAGTTCAACCAGGGGAAGTGCTGGATTCTGCACCTGGAATGGGGCAACCCTGGATGTTCGTCTCCCTGACTGGGGAATGAGATGCTGGAAAGCAGTGCCACGGAAAGGGTCCTGAGGGTCCTGGTCAGTGGCAAGTTGAATATGAGTCAGCAGTGCCCTGGCAGCCAGGAGGGCCAACTGTGTCCTGGGAGGTATCAGGCAAAGCATCACCAGGCAGTCGAGGGAGGGGATTGTCCTGCTCTGCTCTGCACTCGTGCAGCCTCACCTTGAACACTGTGTGTAGTTTTGGGCACTGCAATATAAGAAAGATATTAAGCTGTTAGAGAGCATTCAAAGGAGGGCAACAAAGATAGTGAAGGCCTTGAGGAGCAGCTGAGGTCACTTGGTCTGTTAAGCCTGGAGAAGAGGAGATTGAGGGGAGACCTTATTGCTGTCTACAACTTCCTTGTGAGGGGAAGAGAAAGGGCAGCCACTGATCTCTTCTCTGTGGTGACCAATGACAGGACCCAAGGGAATGGCCTGAAGTTGTGCCAGGGAAGGTTTGGTTTAGATATTAGAACAACGTTCTTCACCCAGAAGGTGGTTGGGTCCTGGAACAGGCTCCCCAGGAAAGTGGTCAGAGCACCAAGCCTGGCAGAGTTCAAGAAGAATTGGTCTAATAATCTTGGGCACATGGTGTTACTCTTGGGAATGGGTGTGACTCTTGGGAATGAGTGCAGGGCTAAGGGTTGGACTCAGTGATACTTGAGGGTCCTTTCCAACTCAGCATATTCTGTGATTCTGTGATTCTGTGAAAGCTGTTCCTACAGAGGAAGATGGTGGTCTAGTGGGGCTGATGAAATCACCCAACCCAACACACAGCAGGCAGGCCATCAGCATGCTGTGGAAAACCTCAGCAGGTCCCAGTGGGCGTAATTAGATATCTTTGTATCTTACAAAATCTTCTCCCTGATCCCATTTACTTTCTGTCAGGAAGTAACCTAGGTCAGCAACTCCTCTGGGGTCAGGACCACATGGGTTCTCCTGGAGAGGCAGGGCAGAGACTGGCAGCAGGGCCCGTCTCTCCATTCCAGTCAGAAATGGAGCAGGGGGTGCACCATGGAGGCCCCAGTCCCTGGCACCAGGCACTTCCTGGGGATGGGCTGAGGCCAGACTAGGACACAGGCCCAGGGGTGGGCCCAGCTCAGTGGGATCCATGGCTGGGCAAGAGAGCTGGAGACCAGCCCTGCCATGACATCAGTGGGGTAGAGATCAACCAGCCCAGGAGGTTGACATGGGGTCCTGGGCCTTGGGTGGTGTTGGGAGAACCTCAGGGTGCTGGGCAGGGACAGTCAGGGATGTAAGCACCTCAGGGCCCCAACACCTCCACACACTGGCCAGTTCAAAGGCAGGCAGGCTTTATATGGCTGCTGCTATGTGCCCTGTGTTAGTCCACTCACTGCTACAAAACCCACAGCTTACCTGAGCTCCTCCAGGTGAAGCCTCACCCACATGACTCCCGTGTACACCTTGTCTCCACGTGAACTTGAGTTTCACCATTGATGCTTATTTGCAAAACAGGTGCCACCAAATCCAGCTCATGCATGCAACCTAAACATCATTTGGGTTTGAGGGTGACCATCTCATCTCTAAACACTGATTTAAACACCCTTGAAAGAAAACACAGCTTTTCTATTTGGAGACAAGTTAGTCCCTGTACTTCTCACAAGTAACAAAACATTGACCATATCGAATGTCAAACGGACCCATGACTCTCTTAATGAAAACACCTTGCCCCACAAGCAAAGTTGCCTGGGGGCCTGAGTTCCCCAGAGCAGTCAGCCACTGCATAGAGGTTTGCAGCTGTTTACAGTGACTGCTATGGGTGGTGTAGCACCTGTGTGGGCACACTGCATGGTGAACTCGGTATCTCAACGTGAATTAAATACTGTCTTCAGAAAAAATAAACACCTCAGAAACATAAACAAATATGTTTATTGCAAATAAAAATTCATATTCACATAATTAAGCCTTAAGAAGCATAAAGAGGTCATTTTGAAAATTGTGAAGCATCCACATATGCAAGGGCTGCTGTTTTCATCAGAACAGCTGCCTGGATCATGCATATAATTATCTGAATGTGACAAGCCAAATATCCCTCTATCTAGAACTGTTTCTATTTGGCTGGTGATGTCATTCTGACACTTCCACAGTTTCATTTTCTCTGGATCTGGCAGTAGAGGCTCATAGAAAACACCAAACCAAGAATCTGGAAAACAAAGACATTTCTGGTATTACTTGGCTTTTCTGGAAATCCCAGATACACAGTGGGAATATTTTGTTTGCAAATATCTTGGATTTACATGTAGGCTAAATCTGCTATGCAGAAGATGATCTTTTCCAATGTAACTCTTAAAGAACATGACTACAGAATAGAACCATTTTAATGAAGGCAGTATGTACCATAGGTAAGACTGCAGACGTGGTGGAGAAGTTTCATTTGTTTAAAAGATAGATTACCTCTGTGGTTGGGAAATCCTGTAGTTCTGGGTGCTTAAAATGAACAAATTTACTTAAGGAAGAGGTAGAGAAAAGGATATGTAACACAGGGGTGCAGCTAAGACAAGGGGCTGAACTCACAGCTGGAATAAACTGACAGGGCATGCTCGTATTTTCACTTGCACCCAGGTGAAACTGGGCCCTTCTTTTCAGTATCATTTCCACTAATAGGGTGAACTGAAACCGGTAACAGCCCACAAGTGGTATAATGGAGTAGGCAGAGAGGGGAAGGGCCCTTCTTTTTATCTGGGGTTTTTCAGAGAAGAGAGGTTGTTATGCATGTGGCCTTTGATTTGCAATTGCTTGAGAAGTCATAATAAGTTAATATCTTTGGAAAGGCTAAATGTTTATCAAGTATAAACTGCCAGCTGACAATTTGTACCAGCTGAGGCTCATATTGTTTATTCATGTTGTTTTCTAATCCTTTTATAATTGGGAGAGGCATCCACCACAGAAAACGCCAGCTGGAGAACAAGAAAGAATGATGGCCAATGAACTAAAGGCTACAACTCACATAACTGCAGTAACTAGAGCAAAGTGACTTATAACTTGCCTTAGGGATACAGATGTAATTTTACACTTTTATTATATTTTTAAGGCCTTTTAACATTGGTGTATTTCACCTATTTTTCCCCCAAAGCCAGTATATGAGTGAGAAATCTGACCTGCCACATATATCATTTTAGATGCCATGAAGTCTGTGCCAAGTAAGAAGTTGGTGGCCTGTCTGCTCCCAGTCCTGCAGCTACGTAACTCTTCCCTGCTTACTATTATTTTCCTGGAAGTGTATTTTTGAGTTGGGGCTCTTGCCCACTCTTCTACCACAAGGAGCAATCTTCTGCCAATAATGTTAAGAAGTTTTTACTTAGAATAACAGAATGAACGCTGCACAGCAATCTTTGTCATTTCTGCTTTTCTCTCAAACATCCACTGATGGGGAGTGGGGGAGGAGGGAAACCAAGGAGGAAGAGTGAAAAGGAAAAAAATGACCAAAGAAAGCAACATGATGAAATCCCGTTTCTTTGTAATTTTCTCCTAATCAAATCCAAATCAAGCAGCTGACTGGATAACTTCACCTATTTTCCTCCTCTCTTCCGAGAAAATTGTGCATATTATTCTTCAGCATATGATGAGGCAATTAAAATAAACAGTTCACATACTCTGAATTTTTTTACACACATGCATGGAGTTTCACAAGTGTGCACTCAGACACATTCATGCACCATCTTGATGGCTAAAGTATGCCTCAGAATTATAATTTAGTTCTACAATTTCTCCATGATACAAATATGTAGTTTAGGGGCTAAGTTTTCTTAGGAGATGAGTTTTTCCTCACACAAATAAGAGAAAGAGGAGGAAAAAATCTGGCTATTCTGGTTTATGTCTTCTGGCGCTATATATGCACGTGCCCGTCTGTCCACCAGTCTCGCTATCAAGGCACAGCCTGGCTGCAGGACTATCAAATTTTTGCAGAAGTATTCCCACGTGATAAGCTTGCACAGGCAGCAGGGTGGTCTGATCTCACCTGAAGTTCACAGCACAGCAGCCATACACTGTTTATGTGAAATAACAGTAAGATTATAGCAAAGATGAGAGCCGGTTTTCCCTTGACTATTAATTGAGCAAGCCAGGTGTTTTAATCCCATTCCCAATGTATTTCTAAGTAGAACATATTGCTTGTCAGCTACTAAATACTTTAATGGTGTACTCTCATACCTCAATAGCAGCCAGTCCAAAGGCGATCCCCATAATTATGACCAGATGGTCTTTAAGGTATTTGATAATCACTTCTCCACAAGGCTGAAAAAAAGACAAAATGATTAATTACAGATAAGCAATATTATCCTAATATTATCCTAATACTAGGAGTGCATCTGCTAAAATAACTCTCCCATGCTTTCTCTCTTTCTCTTTAACTCTGTGTTAAAGAAAGGTTATTTGAATTTACTTTGGCTTGTTGCTAATGAACACAAAAAACACAGCTATGTGTACCTATCATGGTTTGAGATGGTCCCCCTGGGAATCGGGGGCTCAGAGGTGATTGGGTGCCAGGGCAGTGTTCCCTGGAGAGCCAATCGCCACTTGTCTTGTTCGCTTCTGCTAAAAATCATATATACACAGTACCGGAAGCTACTGGTAGGTTTTTTTTCTGTTGGTGTCTGCTGCGTGTAGGTGTAGAAGGCCAGGGGGGTGGCTGGGCTCTTTCCCCCTCCGGGGAGCAGAGGAGCCCTGCACCCCCCCAACTCTACCTAGGCCAGAGTTAGAAACAACATTTAGAGTGAGTGTTTGTGAGGGACTCGACTCACAGCACCTGAGGTGAGAGGAGAGAGGCAGGCCTTGCAGCTTAGCTGTCTTCCCTCACCCTTTCTGCAGTTAAGCTGTGGAGGGGGGCCTTTTCTTTCCCTCCATTGTAAAGTGGAGGAGAGGTTCAGCATTTGAAGCAGAGCCAAGTGGACGGGCTGATAATGAAGCAGCTCAGCACTAGGGAGAAGAATCCCAGGCGAAACTGGATAAGGGCCAAAAGAGCTCAGGAGTTTCCCTGCCAAAGCTGACCGGGGGCAGCCAAAAACTGACTTGGAGGAATGAAGATTCCAAATGCCTACTGTGATAAGCTACACTACAGCAACAGCGAACCGAGGTATGAGACTGAGAGAAAGAGAATAACACAGCAGAGACTGACATGGGACCGAGGAGAAAGGACTCAAAGCTACTTTCTTGGACTTCGTGAGGAGAGAGACTGCGTTACATATCAGCCTTGAAAGGCTTCTCCTGGACTAAAGTTAAAGGGAGGGGCTTAAAGGACTGATTCACTCTCGAGGGAAAAAAAAAAAAAAAAAAA